TTTTGTTGATTTTGTTTACAAATTTATTTCAATTATTATTAATTATATATTGAATCTTTATTTTAATTTATTTATTAATTTCTATTTGAATGTTTATTTATTTTATTATTATATTTATTATCTTCTATTTATTATTCTTTATTCTTTGTTTATTTTTTTGTTAAGTAACTTGAATATTAATTTGAATTTATTTTATATTATTTCTTATTTCTTTTATTTCTTTTATTGTGTGTTTGTTATTTGTTTATTATTTTATTCTTTTCTGTATTATTTATTTTTATTTTATGTATTTTATTTCTTTTGAATATAATTATTTCTTTATAGTTATATCTTAATTTGTATTTATTCTTTGTTTAATTCTTAATTGATATATTGAAGATAATATCTTTTTATTCATTTTAATGTTTTTATAACATCATATTTGATTATCTTCGATGAATATTTCAATTACTTTATTTGTTGAATTGTTTCAATAAACTCTTTTCTTTTTTCAACTTCTTTTGTTATTTATATTATTTGTGTTCTTTATTTAATAAGAAATAGATTAAATATTTTCAATAATGTAGTCAATGTTGATGTAATATATTATCATTGTTATGATATTATCACTTTATTATTTCTTATTATTTTATTATTTTATATGTTTTATATAAAATATCATTTATCTTTCTTTTCTTCTTTGAGTTGTTCATTCAACTACTATTTATCATTTATAACATTTTCTGATGATATTACAATGTGCATCTTCTATTAATTTAACTTATTTATCATTTATTCATATTATTTCTTTGTTTTTCTTTCAATTTTCTTATTATTCATTTCTTTTGATAAAATATTTTATCATTCATTATATTTATTTCTTTGTATTTATTTCATTATTATTTCTGATTGTTTTGTATGTTGTTGTTATTGTTTATTTCATATTTTGAGATTGATTTTTATTATATTCTTTTTATGATTTATTATGTTCTTATCAACTAAAAAACAAAAATTATCAATGATTTCAATTTTGAGCAAAGAATTTATCTATCTTCTCTTTCTCAATTGTAATCTCTTCTTCGTTATTTGATTTCTTTTCTATTTGTGCTTTGCATTCACATTTCCTTCCATTTGAAAGTTCTCCACCAACAGTAATTGTACCATCCTCTTCAACTTTTACAACAAAAACTACAAATTGTTCTCCTTTTGGAATATTGCTAATGACATAGTGCCCTAATGATTTATCATCTTCAAATAATTCTGTTTGTACACTCCATCCAGTGACTTCAATATATAGTGGATGGTCATGTGGAATCTCTGTTCCATCTTCAACAATAGTGAGATTACCATCAACCCCTGCCATCTTGATGGGATGTGCAGTTACTTCTGTAATACTTTTAATCATTCCCGTAGAGAATTCAAATGCATATCGAGCCGCACCTTGTGATACAACCAAATTACAATCAATAGTATCATTGATTTTTGATGTTGTAAACTTGGCTTCTAATAACTCTTTGATTCTAGGAATTTGTGAACTTCCTCCAACAAGCATAACCTCTCCAATTTTTGATGGTGAGAGTTTTGTCTTCGCCAATATATCATCAACACACTTCATGCATCGGTCAAATTCTTTTTGGTTACAATCTTCAAATTCAGTTCTATCAATACTAATAATAAAATCATCATCACCAACTAATTCTGAAATATCTAATTCATAATAACTAGTTGATGATAACTCAATCTTTGCTTTTTCAACTTCTTTTCTTAATTTATATCTTCGTTGTTTCTTTGCTTTTTTTTGTGTTCGACTATCATTTCCTTTCAAAATAAATCTTTGTGCTTTCTTCTCATTAATTTCTTTCATTTTAGATATAACGAGTTCCATTAAATTCATATCAAAATCTAATCCTCCTAAATGAACATCACCACCAGTTGCTTTAAATTTAAACTCTTCTCCTTTCTTTTCTAATATAGTAACATCAAGTGTTCCTCCTCCAAGATCAAATGCAAGATATGTTTTATTTCCCGTACTTTCTAATCCATATGCATATGCAGCTGCTGATGGTTCAGCCAACAATCGAATTAAACTAAATCCTGCCATCAACACGGCTTTTTTGGTTCGATCTTTTTGAGAATCATCAAAGTATGCAGGAACAGTTACAACTGCTTTTAAAACTGCATCATCTCTAATACTTAATCTACGTTGAATTTCAATTTTAATTGCTTTTAACACAATAGCTGAAACAATTTCTGGTTCAATTAGTTCTTCTTCTTCTTTATCAGGATAGTCAAGCACAATCTGACAATACCCATCGTCCGCTTTAACTATTTGATATGGGTAATATGTTCTTTTAATGTCTTCTTGAACTTGTTCATCATCAAATTTCTTTCCAATAAATCTTTTTACTTCACAGATGGAAGTAGGCTTAGGAATTCCAACATTAACAGGTTGTGTGAAAAAATCAACGGTTGATGGAATTGTTGAACTTCCATTTAAGTAATTGATACATTCATATTTTTTTGTTTGAGTATTAAAGAAGTGACAACAACTAAATGTCGTTCCTAAATCAATACCAACAAATGTCTCTTCTTGCATTAAGATTTAATTATTTGATTAATGAGATGACTTTTATTCCTTTAAGTTTCAATCTAAAAATGAACACATCTCTTAGGTGTTATTGTTTTATAATGAGAGAATTCAATAAATAAATTTGCGCCTGTATGACCCTTAAACTGTGAATTGTTTGAGGTACTATATTCAATGGGAAATGTACTTCTTATAATGACTTACCTTAACTTTTATTTTCCAAACATAAAAAAGGGTCAATAAAAAGTAGATAATTAAATGTTAATAGTTTTATTTTCTATTGTTCATTGTTCAGTAGAGATTAATCATTTTCCATTAAGATTGTATGTTTAATGTCTATTAGCTTATTCTTTAGCTTTTTGTTGATGAAAACTGAGAATTCGTTTATTGAATCTACAGGAAATTATTTCAGATATCTCTGACTTAAATTTCATTATTTAAATTTCTATTTGATTTTAATGAGTATTAAGTTTTTCTTCAATGTCTTTAGTATAAGCTATTCTAAGAAGGATAAATCATTATTACTATAATATTATGGATAATTTTCGTTTTAGCACCAACCATAACAATAGACCCTTTCTTTAATAATACATGTACTAACAAATACATTATTCTAACAAGTAAATAAGACCACTACCTTTATAAACGAGTACTCCTTTATTATATATGATATTCAATCAATACAAATAATAACCACCGATATTCTTGCAATAATGATTAAGTTGTTTTCTAACCATGGTAACACCATAATCAGATAATAACTGGTAATTCAAAGCTTGGACTTATTTTAGGGTTGTGTGTAGTGTATCTGATATGACACATATGAATCATATCAAATAAATAAAGAATAAAATAAAATAATAATTATTACCAAAATTATATATTTCAATTTTATTAACTATGACATAATCGCATATATTAAATTTTGTTATATTAAAAAAATAAACAAAAAATAAATAAAATTGAAACAACAAATAAATAAAAAAATAAAAAAAATTTTTGAAAGTGTTAAATTTGTTATAATTAATGTTACATCAGTCACTAAACCATAGAAAAAGAACGTTTGAGGAGTTTATCAGTGGGAGTCTATGTATAGAAACGACAGATGATATGGTTCAATTTTTTCAAGATATTTCAAGATTTATAGAAACAATAATGCCAACAAGAAAGATTGTCCTTTCACGAAGTCGAAGTGAGAATGTATTTCGAATGTCACAAGTGAGAGGAGAAGACAAAAGAGCTGAATTAACAAAAAAGTCATTATCAGATTGGTTAAAAGCTAATTCTATTATGATAGGACAAATGTTAAATTCAAATATAGCAAATAAACAAGTATATGAAGCAGCAATTCTTACAGTTAGTTTTATGTCAGAAATTAAAGTATTAAAAGAAGGATTGATGTTAGAATTATTGAAAAACACAATAGATAAAGATTGTTTTATTCAAGTTGGAGAGCTTTTAATAGCGGCAGCACCATTTATGCAAAATGAAGAAGCAGAGAATATATTTAAAGTAGTGAGTAAATGGAAAGGACATGTAGAAACATTAGTTCCATTATTAGCACGATTTGTTAGTATTTCAGCTAAAATAGGATTAAAATATGCAGCCAAAGAAAGAACAATAGGAGTTGTTCAAAGATGGATTCAAGGATGTAATAATCCAAAAGAAAGTAATTATTGGATGAAAGAAATTCATGAAATACTTAAATTATTAACACCTCATGCATTAGAAGATATGATGAATGAAATGATGAAAGAATTAATAAAAGGAGAGAAAGAGCCAATAATTCAAATAAAATTATTAACAAGTGCATTAAGTGTAAGAGGAGATGGGACAGGAATAGATAGAGATTTTATTGGAATGAAAAAAGTAATTGGATATTTAGAAGAAATAACAATAGAAAATAGGGAAGGACCAATGGTAAATGCAGTATTAGAATATATTAGAATGTATGTTGAAAGTACTCACTTATCAATTCCAGCACAATTATTATTACAACTATGTATTATAATGACAGATTCACTTGATATGGCAGATACATTATTTAGATGGTTAAATGAAACAGTTGTAAAAGAAAGAAAAACACCAGCACATGATGTAATAGTAATGTTAATGAAATTTATTGAAGGACATATTTCATCAGTAGATTCAGAAAGTGGAATGATTTGTTTACAAAGAGTATTAGTTCATTATAACCAAACAGTGTGTAAATCAATAATTGTTGTTGATAATAAAATAGAAGTAATAGATAAATCAGGAAATGGGTTATATGGAATTCATTTATTATGGGAAGTTGCAATGGCAAATAAAAGGTTATATACTCCAATAGTTAATTTTATGGCAAAATTCTTTTGTAATGTACCTTCAACATTATGTTCATATATTGTTGATACTTTTACAACATTATGTACATCAACTGATACAAATTATTTAGTTAAAACACTTATTTTATTTATTGAAAAAACTAGTGAATTAATAAGAGACCAACCAGAAAAGAATATAGTTAATGTTTATTTAGAAGAAGTTAATGACGAGTCATGGAGGTGTGATAAATTTAAAATAAATGTTCAAGTAATAAATAATAAAATAGATGAAAATATGAAAGATTTATTAGAAGAACAACAAATTACATTAGAAAATTTTGAAAGAACAAACAAAATTGTATTTTTAACAAAAGTTGGAATTGAAAATGTAGGAAGAATGAAAATTGTATTATCAAAAAAAATGAAATCATTAATAAATGAAATTAGAATAAAAGTACCTAAATCATTTGATTTTGTTCAATCCATTGATGAAGAAGAGTTAGCAGGAAGAATTAAAATAATTTGTAAAGACGTTGAATTAACTGATGGAAAAAGTGTTATTGGAAAAGATGTTATTATTAAATTTGGAGAATATCAACCAGTCATTTATAGTGAATATTATGAAGAAGTTATTAAACGAGTAAGATGTATTGATAAAAATTTAGTTGAAAGATTAACTGAAGTTATTAGATCAAATAATGAAAATGTAGCATTTTCAGGATGGCAGTTATTAGAAGCGTTATTTGATTTTATTGCAGAAGGAAGTGAAATTGATACATCACTAAATGGTTTATGTGAAAATAAAATTGATGGAAGTTTATTACCATCATTAGCATTTGTTGTGAAATGTTTAGCAGAAGAACGAGAATCAGTAGAAATGACAGTAGAAAGATATTTTTGGAAATTATTAAATGTGACATGTCAAATGATTCAAGAAAGTAATGTTGAATCTTCAACAATTAGAGGAGTTATTATTGAACAATTATGTCATATTATTTGGCACACTCTTTTAAAACAAAGTGAATATAGATGGTGTAGTGAAATGCAAAGACAATTAAATATTAAATTATTAGAATTTTGTAAAGATCAATTACTTCAATGGCAACAAAAAAATGAAACAAATGATACAACACATTATTATACTTATTGTCTACTTCATTTCTTTTTATATATTGGAATGATATTTTGTAATTATAATTATTTTAATGAATGTTTCTTTAAAAGTTGTGTTTCAGCAAAATCAAAAGAAGATGTTATTAATATTTATTGTATTCTTGATTGGTTTATTGAAAATGATCAACAAAAGAAAAAAGTTATTGGACTATGCGAGTATTGTTTTTCTCAAAATATTTCTTCATTACCAATTCATTATGGATATTATAAATTATTATCTGAATTAGTTTTAAGATATAAAAAAAATGGTGGTAATTCTGAGTTGTTTAATTCTTTATGTAAATCATTTATTGAACAATTTATGCTATTTATTAATCCATTAATTAATAACAATATTCAATTAAATGGTTTATTGACATTATGTATTTCTATTGCAAAAGTATATCCTGAGTTATTTCAAGAATATAATATATTTATTAAATTTATTCCATTTATTAATGCTTATTTATTCCCATTAACCACTGATATTGAAACTTTAAATCATTTTCCTCGTTGTAAAAGTATTGAATCCCGAAGATTATGTTATGATTTAATTATTGAATTAACACAAAACGAAAGCATTATAAGTTCATTAATAACTCATATTTCACGTTATTTTTCATTACATACTCGACAAAAATTATTAGTTATTCCTCCTTTACTTACAGGAAATATTAACATTTTATTTGTTATGTATCAGTTAGCAAGTGTTCTTTCATCAACATTTATGGTAAAAATATTTCAATCAACAGAGTTAAATATGAAAATTATTAAAGAAATACAAACAATTATTACTTATATTCAAAATATTCCAGAACAAACAGTTGATACTTCATCATTAGAATTAATGCTAAACGAAAAAGGGGAAGAATGTAAAGAACCATTTACAATAATTAATACAATTATATCAATATTAAAAGAAAGTGAATATGAAGAAGAAATAGAACTTTTTAAAGGAGAAATAAAAACATTAATAGAAACTATAAAAAATAAAACAAGTTCAATATTATTTGTAGAAGTATCAGAAGTAGAAGAAATAAATGATACAATGACAATAACAAAAATCGAATGTAATAATAAAAAAGGATATGAATACCAATTATTTGGAGTTATTGGAGAATATTCACAATTTAAAATAGGAAATTCATGGTTTTCATATAAATTAGGAGAAATAAAAAAAATAGGAACAGTAAGTATTAAAAAACATATATCAACAATTTATATTTATAAACAATGTTCAAAAGAAATTGACCATATTAAAAGAGTAACATTTACATTTAAAAATGAAGTAATTTTATTTGAAGAACCATTTCAAAAATTTATTTATGTTATTGCAATTCAAGCATCACGTTATTTACCAATTCAAACTTTAAGATTTATTTTCTTTTATTTTGATGTTGTTTATCTTAGATTACCAAGACAACCTTTAACAAGTAAATGGAATATTTTATTACATGAATTATATGATAAAACTAAAGATAATAATTGGATTATTAAACATTTTGATGACGTTAATGTATTAGATGCTTATTCACGTTGTAGAAGTCCAGAAATAAGAAGTGCAATTTTTGATATTCTTCATCAAATAATAGAACATTCATTTAACCAATGTAATGAATATTTAA